AGCGGGACGGTTCCACTAAAGAAGAGTAGGAAGCTGACAGTGTGACAATGATAGATGCCTTCTCGAACTCGCCATTATTTTTCTTCCCTACTCTGACAATCTTCTCTTTCAGACAAGAATAAAGCCCACTGAGCAAGTATAGGCAGGTGGAAACCACCTCTGCCTGTCAGAGAGGCAGAGCAGGCACCCATGGTCACTCTTATCTGGGCCCTGGTCTCTGCTTAATGGAATAGCCGTGACCTGAAAACCACTGCAGAAAACACTGCAGTGGCCGTGGCCGTTTGTTTTCATCTGCTGTTACCTTGTGAACAAGGATTCTTGAGTCCGGCGGAGATGGTCAGTGCCTTTAGAAGCTGAGGCTCCTTGCAGTAAGGGGAGGTGCACTGATTCCTTCCCAACAAAGCTCACTTGTCTGGCAGCCTGTCTATCCAGAACAATCCCAGAATGGAGATGTGAGAATGGAAGAAGGGCCTCCCAGAATTGCTCTCTCAAAGTCCAGGCAGTGTGGTCAGCAGGGAACACCCTCAAACTTGCCCTCATTCTATTTACTAGTATTTTACACAAAGTCACGAGTGTGCACATGCTTACATCACTGACTCCCTCCAAGTAGAACTTGGTGACGTCATCCCTGGAGGAGCAGCCCGTCCTGCTGGTGGACCTCTACAAAAGTGCAGGACAATGGGGAAGAGAGAAGATAAGGCAGCGGACAAAGACTTAAACGAGGGCTCAGGTTGTTGGGATGCCAGCTTCACACCTTCCCCTGATGCACTAGGTAAACTTGGACAGACCCCTTACCTTCGTAGAGTCTCAGTTTCTGAGCCAAGAGCCCACTGGTACAGCAAGAATTTAAAACCTCAGCGGTCTAGGGCTATGCAGTGCAGTGACAGACGACTCTGTATCTCTGTACAGGTGCTGTGTGTCTCAGCAGCTCAGTCCAGAGACACGTGTATTCACAGGAAGGTGCTGGGTTTCAGTTTGTAGAGGGGTGAAATCTTAGTTGCCTGTGAACTTGGCCAGTTAAGGCTCTTGGCCAAGGGATCCTGAGTGCAGAGATTGTACAGTGCTAAGGCGACCACAGAGTGCGCCTGTTTCTAAGGAGTTAGAAATAGTAGTAGGAGTCTTGGTTTGCACGGTAAACCAAGGTGACGTGTTAGTTACTTCGGATTGGTCTGACTTGCAGTGAGCCCGTGTCTCTGGAATTGTTCGGCCCGGGAAGCACTGTCGCGTCTGCCGGAGCTCTCACTGGACCACACAGCGAGCAAACTTGTTTTTATTGGACACTCGAAAACCAGATCTGAATTTAACATTTTTCTGTTCAGTGGTTTCTTTTAAAATAGAGTATTATGAGAGTCACTAGAATTATATAACATGTTCTTGTAGATGTTTACTGAGTTGTTCTGAATTATGTTAATGTATTCAGTCACATTTCAAAATAAGACTTAAAATGAAAGCTTTCCATGCAATTACATTGCTCTTAAATAAAATAAAATGAACATAAGAAAATTAAAAGATAGTTTTTATGATCAACTCTACCAGTTGGACAGAAGACCTCATAAATGCGAACTGGCAAACTTTTGAATATGTGTTTTGTATTCATTGTGACCCAAGCAGGGTTTATTTCTGTTCTGAAGATTTGGACTGTTTTGTGGAACTGTAACTGAGCCAGCGAAAGGACTGTAACTGTTTTGAATATTGTGGTCTGAGATTAAACGGAATGTTTTAAAACTAGTTACCATTTTTTAATATGCAATTAGTTGCTTACCCTCGTTTAGCTCATATGCAGAGGCAGACACTAGAAAAGTAATTATTTGCCCCGGCTGCTTAGCACATTATTAACTGTCAAATGTATATATTAATGGGCAAATAAAATCAGGAAACATACTTTTAATTCTACCATAAATAATATCTTGGGCCAAGTAGTTTTAAGTTCAAACTGGAGAAAATGAACTTTATGGATAATTCTTTTTCCAAAGAAAGTCATGGTACGCTTTTGCAATGTGAATATCCGTCGTCATATTTATTGTGTGCAAACTAAGTCCCAGGTGCAGCGCTAGACGTAATCGTTGGAAATGAGAGACCAGAAGGATCTGCGGAGCCTAGAGTCTAGTGAACGGAGTGGAAAACCAGGGGTGGTGAGAGGAGCCTTTGGAGCCAAGAAATTGAGGACAAAACCCATTGAGTTTTGAAACACGTCTTATTCTGCAGACATCTTTCTTGTTATCTTGGTATTTTCTTATTTTCTAAAGCTTCTCTATGGGATAGGCCACATTATAAATAGCGGATGAAGATTTGTACACATGTTGAGGCCATTGATTTTCAATCCTTCACTCTTAAGCCCAGGGTTACTTTCTTCTGTCCTCCCGATGTTGAAGCATTGACCCACTGATACTGTCCCCGGGAGCCTCGTTAGATTTCAGCAATTATGTGGGAGGCCGGCAGACTGGAACACGATGATGCAATTAGAGTGCAAGAGATTCCCCTCAGCCTGTAGCGCAGCTTGTTATTAACACGTGTGCCCAGCCCTGTTTATTAAAAATGGCCATGACCAAACAAAACAGGTAATGCAGGAGGAATTCTTCCCTTGGTATAGTCTCCTTGAAGAATTCTTTGTGTATTGCCCTCAACTTGGGCACCTGTTACCTGATTTCCTTTTAGGTGATGATTTGTCCCCAGGAAATCCTCTGTTATGTATATCGAGGCAAGCCTGCATTCTTCCAGACGATAGTGTGTTAGTTTCCTGAGGCTGCTGCTGTAACAAACTCCTACAAATTTAGTGGCTTCAAATAACACAGATTTATCCTCTTACAGCTCTGGAGGTCAGAAGTCTCAAGTGAGTCCTCAGAATCGCCTTCCTTCTGGAGGTTTCAGCTTCTAGACGCTGCCCTCGTTTCTTGTAAAATGGCCCCTTCCTCCATCTTCAAAGCCAGAAACAGCATCATCTCTCCTCTCTGACTTTTGATTCATCCTCTCATATTCTATTATCCCTACCCTCCTGCTTCCTCTTATAAAAACCCTCATGATTGCATCGGCCGGTTCAGATAACCCATGGTAACCTCTCCATCTCAAATCCTTAACTTTATCACATCTACAAATTACCCTTTTGCCATGTAAGGTAACATATTCACAGATTCTGGGGATTGGGATGTGCACATCTTTGGGGGGCCGTTTTTCAACCTACCACAGATGACATAGGATGGAACTCAGGGTCTGTTGTGTGCCAGGAACTGCATTGCTAGCTCACCTAGTCGTTATAGTTATGAAAAGGAGGTGTCATTGTTATGTCCATTTTAACCCATGGTGGAAATCGGCTCAGAGCAATTAAGTGCTTATCCCAGGGTCACTCAGCTTGTAAATGGTGGAGTCAGGATCTAACTCTAATCTATCTGTTTCCAAACTTCATGCTCTTTCTACTATGGCCTCACTCAAAAAGGGTGGTCCCTGGAGAGCAGCCAGGAGCTCGTTTGAATTGTAGAATTTCTACCCCACTCAGAACTAATGAGACAGAATCAGCATTTTAACAAGATGCCCAGGTGAATCTTAGGGACAGTCAAGTTTGAGAAGCACTTTGCTAGACTAAAATGCTCAAGGCCCTGCATTTTTTACTTTTCAATGTGCTATGTACAGTTTTTTTTCTGTACACAGAGGTTTGTGAAAAGATAATGGGGTTTAGCCAGAAAACTCTCATTACCATGCTCTGTTTTACTTTCTAAACAATAGTTTGAATAACTAAAGCGGTGACCTCCACTATGGAGGGCTTCCAAAACATAACTTAGCCAAAATATTCAGGAAGACAACCACACGTACTTGCTTTCAAAGGCTCTCTCTGTGGAATGGACAGGAGAGCTAGACCTGGTTCATTGATTTGGGTCACGTACATGTGCATAATCCCTTATCTGCCATTCCAAAATTCAGAAAGCTCTGAAAACTGAGTTTTTCTTAAGTTTGAAACTAATTCAGTTGGCAGCAAAACTGACCTGAACTGACATGAGGCTATTTATAGTCTCTATCCTATTCAGTGAGAATATTTATATGTTCATATGTTTTGCTAGCAAAATATTACTCAAGCTTGAGGTGTTAGTTAATATGTGCCCTGTGCCCTTTATTAGTATTTTAAAGTTTGAATAACTCCAAATTTCCAATCAGATCTGGCCCAGACTATTTTGGATGAGAACATATAGGTCTACAGTATTGATAACGCTGGATTTATAGATGAAGAAACC